CGTCTTCGCGACCAGATCAACGTAGAAGAAAAGGAAGTTCCCTCGCCGGCTGCCGACGTAGACGTGAGTCGGGCGCTCACGCCTGCTGACACATTTTCCCCAGTGTGCATAAGAGGCCTCAAAACCAGCTGTAAAGACAGCTGGAGGCTGACAAAGGAACAACTGGCATCGGGTTCACATTTGTTGTCCCTGACGTCCAGCTATAATGGCCGCTCGGGCGTCAGATTCCATCCACATCTTGTGAGCGTCTTTGACTTTTGCAGTCGGGTTCTCCTTCATGTACTGTCTCACCTCCGTTAGGTTTCAAGGACAGGTTTCGAATGGAAGGAAGGATCAGTCAAGTTGACTGAAGTTGGACCGAGTGACAAATTCCCAATGCGCATCGTTCATCGTGCGCTTTGACCGCTTGGCATTTTGCATTTCAACATCTTCATCAGACTTCTGGGCCTTCGCAACCTGGCAGACAAGGTGCAAGACAACCTGTGCTCACGAAAGCAACCGACGATTGAACAACTCTGTTCGTAAGCAAGAAACTCCTTTGGATGTCCACTTTGCATGCCATGCTCTGCTTGTTGCACGTCGTTTCTCCTGCTGCTGATGCTCAACTTCCGCTTGCTCTTCTGCTGTTCGTTCTGATTTCTTCTTTGCAGCAGGTGGCTGGTTGACCTGTAAGACAGCAACAGAGGATTGATTGCAACTATCAATAACAATAACAATATGAATACCGAGTACCAAATTACAAGATAGAAGCGGGAAGTATAGAAACCCACTTATGAAAAATACGATGCAAAAAGTGTTGAAATACAAAGCAAGAACTTCACCATCAGCTGGCTTTGCATCTGCATCTGAAGCAGCTGATGAAGCTGGATTTGCATCTGCATCCGAAGCCATAGCTTCAACAACAGGGGGAGGAATATCATCATATAGCCGTCGTAAACGCTTTGGCTTTGGAGCACTTTTGGCAGCCTGAAGTGGAAGCATGGGCCCCATTGTTTTGTTGCTGGCAAAAATTCTCACACATGAAAAAGTAAAAATACAACCTAACCGTAGTAAGAAATAAGAAACTGTCGCAAGAACCGCAGATACGTCTTGTCTTCCGCCGTCAACACATTCGTTATCCTTCTTGTCATCCTGGTCCTCAAATGGAGCATGACAGCTACAAACAAGAGAAAACAACAATTCCAAACAACTGTTAGATATGATTCCAGGCGACCTCCGCGCCACCAGCATTGAATTCTGGCACTGGATCGATTGGAGTCTCATTCTTGGGTTCACGATGTCCATCCTTGTTTATGGTGTATCCAGGAAAGTTGTATATAAAGCAAACTGTCAATGGACACTTTTTATTTAAATTCCAAGGTTCTTGGTCTTTTTTGGGTCGCTGAGGGCCCATTTCATACCAGGCCGTTTCAGGTGGAAAATACACTGGTGCAGGGCCCATACTGGTCTTGTCGATGAAGTCCTGGGAATCAGATTGAAAGAACTCGTAGGGCAGCTTGGGATTGTCACAGGGATCAGGTTCTTTGCCAGCATCATCAAAGAGTCTCTTCTTAACAGGGTCTCGAAGAGGTCGGGCAACGGTTTCCACAGGCATTGCCATACCCTCCTGTGCTGAACAAGGAACATCAAACACGCAATATTGACATACATACTTGTGCCAAACTGAGCACGAACATGTCCTGATGCGTAGGCGCCATAAACTTCTTCAAAGTGTCACTGAGCTGGAAGGCAACAGGACGGGAGGGCAGAGATTCTCCTGATGATCCAATTAGGATCGATCTCTTGGGGACGTTGTTTGGCACCTGTGCATCACTTTGGGTTCCCAGCTCATACTCATACCCAAGGTGCTTTTTCAACAAGTTTTCTGACACGCAGGAACCCACATCCAGTTCAATAACTGGAGCGGATGAAAATGCCATTGCCCACACAAACACGTCAGCCTCAGCTGCAAAAGCTTCCCTAACTGTCCTGAGGCAAAAAAATGCAGCAGCACTGAAATGGTTCTTTTTCAGAGCATGGTCACGTTTCATGTTCAAAGTTCACTGAGTTGGTTTGTTGTGAGCTTTCCTGCACCAAACTCTGCCAAATACATTTTCTTTCCCCTATCCTAGCAATCGGCTCTTGTCTTGTCTCACTTGCAGACTGTGAGATCTTAAATGTGCCAATGGCAGCTCGGTTGGTCCAAAAACTGGTGCTCGTCCACAAAAACAACACAATGATACCTGTGTCCTTTGGTTTTGAACCGTGAAAACATCCAAGTGAAAAACATCCAAGTTCAAGATTCAAACTGGTCTTACCTAGGCAACTTGGTACACGAGCCCAGCTTCAAGGGTGAACCCCGTCCCCCGCACAAACCACAATGGTTTTGCGGGGCCAAGAATCTTTTCACGTGTGAAATGTCTCATTCCTTAGATGTTTGCAAAACGGATGCACAAAAACTTGATTGCATGTTTGAACAGAACCAGCAAAGTCAAAGTCCTTAAATATAAGGCCCAGCATCTCCATACCAATTGCAAGTAGTTGCTGCTGCTCAGGGCTTTGAAGCCCACGACCCCTGCTACATTCGTAGCTTTGGCGGTCTTCGCTGCCACGTTATTTGGCTTGAACAGGCTGTAAGACTCATGCACGACCTCCACGCGATCCTGTTCTTCTCCTCGTTTTACTTCAGCCGGTCGGTCCACTGCATGTCCTGTGACACTGGTGTCCAAAATGCCTTTCTTTTCCAACATCACGATCAAGTCATAGAGCCGCATCGGAGCGGTGTCTGCTGCTCCCTGGCTGGTCGTTTCTTCCAGCACAACCTCGGTTGAAGGAACTAGGTGAAGAGATAAAACATAGCATGTCCAAGAAAGCATATCCAAGACAACCAAGAAACCATAGCATCCCCAGATTCGAGCCGGAACTCAACTGCTTTGTTCTCGTTGGCTGGCCTGAGCTGTCAAATTATGATCGAATCCATGTTTGACCTTCCATGTGATGTGTAAAGAAAACAAGAAACACCTGTCAAAACAATTGTTTTATGAACCTGGTTGCTTTTGCTGATTCTGAGATCCAACTTCCACCAGCATACATGAAGATGGCCTTTGCATTCTCTGAATGCACCCCTGGCAACAATACCTTCGTACTGCTGGTCACAAAGAGCTTTGCACCCACAACATAGCATGTCACATTGGAACCCATGTTCAAAGTGATGGTAGCATCAACGGTTGCGTGCTTTGATTGGAACTCTTCAGCGGAGAGTGCTGGCGGCATCTCACATGGAGTCACCACAGCCGCTCTTGAGGCAGTTGGTTGATCACCTCCCAAATCCACGTTCTCATCTTGTGCCTTGGGAGCTGGTCTCTCCGTGGATGTGGTGGGCGCGAAAACACTGTCGAAGTTCTTCAAGCGTTGTCTCCAATCCGGATCTTGGCTCACGAAGCTTGAGCCAAAAACACAAAACATACACAAAAGACAAAAACCATTCAATGCACAATAGTAAACCAAGTATCTTCGCACTGGGTCCATCAGCCATTTGTCCCTGACCTCCTTGGGTATGGTCAGGTGGCCGTTGTCACTCATTTGGCAAAGTTTGAGCTGGGGCATCCTTGAGTTTGCCACAGTGCTCAAGTCGGCTTCTGGTTGGAATTTCGGAGTCATCAATCCAATCTGGCCTCGAGCCGCCTTCCACTCCTATTGCAGCATCTTTGTTGCAAAATGTCGCACGCCACTTCGTAAACACAAGTAGCTTTACATGGACACTGAAAAGATAAGTGGTTCTCCAGGGGTTCAAGGTTTTCTCCTGTCCTCCAGTAGCTTGTCCTTCACCCCTGTCAGTGCATACTGAAAGATGGTGCTGTTGCTGGTCTCACTGAACATTGCAATGTAGCAGTCTCCTTGCAGGTCGTTCATCAAATCGATCATCACCTCCACATTGTTTTTGTTTCAAAGCCGGACCGCAGAAAGACATACTGTATTGTTGAAAACTTCATTGAAACAAACAAATGTTTTACCGGAACCCTGCCTTCTCCATCACTCCATCGTATTGCGTCAGATGTTGAACCACCAGGGCCTGTCCCTTTAGGGATGAGACTCGAGCCAGCAGCGATTCCATGATGTTCCGCAATGTTTGCGGGGATGCAAACCACTGCGCTGTTTCCTGTCTGTCCTTACCCGTCAGAGAATCCACAATATGACCTAGAACTATCACACATGAGGTAAATGAACGCGCAAAAACAAATAGTCAAAAACGTACTCAACTAGTTTCAGGAACGGTCAGGCTACGCCCTTGTTCATGTGTAAAAAAGGTGCCACTCTCTGGCGTCACGTATTCACCTAAAGTCACTGGCATGAACGAAGAAACACAAACAGCAATAACAAAACCCAAAATAGACTAAAATTTTGATAAGTATACAAGCTCAGAGACTGACAGGAAGCGGGGCAGAAGGTGAATTGACCAAGCTGTTCCAGTACTCCGATTTTGTCCAAACATTGTCATCTGCCAGCTTGAGATCAGAGTTTCGGGGTGCCTTGTATAGGGTGCCTTGGCGGCACCCCAATGTAGATTGAAGCACAACGATCCAGGCTGGCAATGCTTTCGGGAACGTCCTTGGACAAGTACGATTGCGTTCGTGAGCACGTGATAGAAACATATGTTAACGTGTTCAACATCTGAATGCACATTTAGCAAGGCCAAAGATCCGATTCCCCTGCAAACTACTGGTGTCAAACAGGATTTGTACTGCTTTGGCTTCCATCTGCATGGCATTGAGCTTGTCCTCTATTCGCCTTCGCTTTTCATGAAAGAAAGACTTGAACTTGAACAAAAGGTTGAACACGTTTGCGTACATTTGAATACATTTAGCCCCATGCCTCTGCTCTCCTCGAAATCCATTGATGACACCTTCTCCAGCAAGGACGGGGGCGCACATGAAAATCATGCCTTAAACACACAGGGTTTAGGTACGTGTTACGTTTTCAAACACCTGTAAGAAACATGGTCTGAGTGGATGAGGCAAGATGCTGTAATCAGGATTCTGGCTGAGGACGGTATGACACCAGGTGCAGATGTCATTGATTTCCGGCGCTGCCAGTCGTCCATACTTCGACAAATCCACATAGCCAACATTTTGCAATCTGCTGCTATCACAACTGTCGAAGCGTTGGCTGGCGTCCTGTAGAACCCTTCGTGTCAGCCCTCCGACAGCGTTGCTCTTGCCCTTGTCAGAGCACAACATGAGAAGCCTCTTGTTCATAAAGGTCTCGGCCACATGATCCCTCATGTGAAGGACCTTAGATGAGCAGCATGCGCGCAACAACCAAAACCAAACAGCACATGAAACAAAAGACCAGCAAAAGAACAACCACACATATCAGCCAGATACTTGGGCCACATGTCGGCTCGATTCGACCTGTCAGGGAAAACATGTCTTCAAATTCAACACTGATTTCAACAAATCAGTTTGGACCAATGTTTGGAATAAAATGGTGTCACTATATAAAGTGGAAGGGATTGTGAAATGTGCCTTGTTTCTCCGGAGGTTGTAGGAAACAGCTTCCTTATAATCATGTGACAGGTGGGTCACGACGACAGTGTATTCCGCTTGGTGCAGCTGCTCCTCTCGGGTTGTGAAATGGGTGTTTGGATGCCGCAGTAAAAAAGTGTGCCATCTGAACATTCATCAGTAAACCAAACGACAGGTCCTGCGCTTCATCAACTTCTGGACACTCGTCACGTACATTGGCCTGGGGCTGAAAAATCACGCGTCCGATGTGATCCTGCCACATGGCCGTCATCTGCGGGGTAATCTTTGATGGCTTCGCGACAATGATTGCATCCAGGTCTTGGGTGTAATCCCTTGGGTGAATCAAGCTGTGTGTTGGGAAAATGTGTGTGTCGGGAAAAAGGGAAAAAGACAAGAAAAGAATTCCATTAATTCTGGTGAGGATGAGAAACCCATTGAGGAAAGCTTGAGTCATGTTCTCCAGCATCTCTGAGGTGACTTCAGGCTCAGTGGACTGTTCCTTCACCCATTGAAAGACAGCACAGTGGTTGACGTTATTGATCCACTGCTCCTCTGTCCACCGCATCCGTGCTCTCATAGATCTCTTGACCCTCCTTGCGTTTTGCGACCACCAAAGATTATATTTCTGAAAGTGGAGGTGCTGAACGGCTGGTGTCACCTCAGCTGAACGGGAGAGTAGTCCAGATCCAAACTTGTGTGTTTCAAAAAACATAAAGTATTTGAGCCGTTGTAATAAAACTGAGTGGCGGTCAACAACTTTGTCCAGAATGGATTCAATCCCTTGGGTGTCTCGTTCAACATGTGGCGCTTCACTCTGAGGATAGACTCGTTGTATCCTGAACTGGCTGAGTGGTATACATGAAAAACTGAGGTCTTTGTTCAAACGACAAACATCTTTAAAGCACATGCTGCTGCTGAAATCTACTCAAGGAACCTGACTCTTCCCACTTGTTGTGGTCAAGATGGCTTCGCAATAGCGACCGGGAAACTTCATCCAATCCGATGATTATTGACCAAATAGCTGAAGACTGGTCTTGGGAGATTTGCCACTTTCGTATTGCGCTGTTGGCTCTGTAGCTGTTGTATTTGCTGATGAGGTCGCTCAGGCACGCGCTTTCATCCATGGTGGTCTCAGTCATCATGCGCTCTTTGATCAACCGTTCGAATCTTGCAGCAAGCTTTAAAACCTGTGGCGATGGTTCAGGCGCAAGTCCAATCAAATACCACTCCTTCCCCCAAGAGGTTTACCCAACACAACAAATTAACCAAGAAGCGTCTTTACGCTGTCTCTCTGCACCCTGCGTGGATAATTGGATTGACTCAAAGCTGACAGTTTCCTTGTCGCCACATGCCGTGATGGTGCTTGGCAAGCTCCAAAAATCACTGATGGCTGGCAGCAGACACTGAATGAGATCCTGTAGATGTTTTTTGAACATCATTCGTAATCAAACCTAGTTGTCAAAACTTTTCAGAAACACATGAGGTCCTTCCCCGTAATTGGATCCATGTTTGATGCTACCAGCAAGATGAAGAGCCCAGCAGTCCTTAGATGAATAGCCCTTCAAGTTCACAGCAATATGTTTGTCGCCCAAAAAGTGTTCGCAACAAGATCAATTAGATGTGACGAGTGGCAACCGGGTGAACCCCTTCTTCACCGTGAACTGCTCCTTGACTGCGTGATCTCCATCAGTGAGTGCTAAAGATTTGTTGTAGTTCAAGTCTAAAGGCTCTCGATGCAAGCGGCAGCCGTTGAACAAATAGCTCACCGCGCAAGTGGTCCAATCCTCTATACAGGGCATGTCGTCGGGTCTGGCGATGTAAATGGACGACAATGGCACTGCTGTAGTCATGTGCTCCACTGTGCTGTCAGGTACCAGAAGCTTGGAGATATCCTTGCTACATCTTGCTACATATAAATCAGTTATATAATATATAGAAAAACAAAAGACACCAAACACCAGTAGTTATATACAGTTGCAATCTGAATTTCATCAAGACACCGGATGAACAGCACATTCAAGCTTCTTTCCATGCACTCTCATGGCTTCCTCGAGGAAGTTCTTCAGCTTGTTCGTGGTTTGCTCTGAGGTCTGTGGGTTGTTGAAAGCATTCAACACTAGATCCACTGGATGGGCTGAAGTCGTCACAGTAGAGGTCCCCGCAGTGGAAGGTTCGATGAAGAGTGCCAAGTAAGCCAGAATGTCCTGACGGGAAATCAGTCGTCAAATCTATTTATAAACGACATAATAAGATGCTTTGCAGTCCACCCAATACCCATCCCTGGCAAGGGTAGTGTCTCCAGGTAGTTTCTTCAAGGCACTTTGCCACTCTGTCTTTTGTTTCTTTGCAGTGGCATGCCCTGTCTCGGCTTTCACCTTGCTCTTCCAAAAGGTAAAACTAGATTTCATCTCCTGCTCCTGCAAAAAAGTTCAAGGGTGGAACCACAAAAAATGTTTAACATCTGGCCAGGATCTGGAGGTGAAGCTTCCTTCTTCACTTCACATTTCGCTTCAATCTTTCCTTCTTCTTTCACACCTTCTTCCTTTTTGGCGACTGGGCTGACTTGCAACGCAAGCTGAGCGGCAGCTACCCCTGCTCGAAGCAAAGGCGACTCCATTGAATTGGCAGGTGGCCACGGTCAGCCACACACACAAAATCCCCCTTTGAACCAAAATTCACCATCTGAAAATGGTGTTTCGTTCGATAAAGTTCCTTCCGGTTTGAAACCCGGATTTCGTCGTAGGTGGCGGTTTGAAACCCGGA